TATATATAGAAATCACAATGCTTCCTCAGTTTAAGAATTACAAACATCTTTGTATTAAGTCTTCTGAAATGTTATGTTTGAATATGCAAATGAGGTATTAGCTAATTAAATATGCACACATTTGCATACATTTCCAGAACAGAAATCTGAATATTGGATAAAGCCAGGTTCTTGTTTCATTTTGTTAGCCTTTCCAAAGGGTTTTACATAAGGGATTTTTGATTATCAAAAATCATTATCACTTCATAAATCAGAAAATACCATCAACAGCCAGAAAAAATAAATAAAATAACATAAAAATAAAAATAATTTTTTAGGAGTAAAATGTTGTATAAAATTAGACAATTGATTTATGAGAAAAAAAACCTCAGTAAAAACCTTCAGAATATAGAAATAAAACAAATTTTAATTTTGGGGTAATTGCATATTTCTGGCTCAGTGCATGAGAAAATACTCAACTCAAAAAAATATTCCAATATTTTGTGAAGAAAAAAAGAAAATCGTTATGAAAAGCCAAATAGTGCGCAACATTTCAATTGACAAGTGCATGAAAAAAAAATTTATATATATATTTCTATATTTTTTGTAATGCCTTACGCAGAGGTCTAGTGCACTGATAGTGATTAATAATGTTGATTGTTTATTACATAATGGGATGTTTGGCCCCAAAAGCACATGGGACAACCATCCCAGGGCGGTTTTCAGGATATGCATTAATTTCTGTGCCCTGTATGAGTGAGTGCCACAGTGGCACTTCTTTGTAAAAGATGAAGAAGAAGAAACATAGCGGGCCTGAAATAGCCCAGTGCGTGTGTCCCTCAGGGTGGCATAGATCTGTGCGCACTGACATTGCTGTACGTCCTCCACAGGCGCTCGATTAGGAGCTGAGGCCACCTAGTGTAAGTTAAAAGCTCAGTGGCACCTGGGCGCTGTTTACACCATTATTAGTTGGCATAGCATGCTCTCAGCTGACCTCAGAGCAGCTCACAACTTTATAAGGGCCTGGGAAAGTGTCGTCTTAAGGCCCAGGCTGTCAAGGATCTTGCTGGAGAATGACATTGAGGCCTTAATGTGACTTAAGGAGGAAGCTGTTAAAGATTACTGAGCAAGGATACTTTCTGCATGGATGCCACATGTCAGGGAGATCTCTTGTAATTGCGGAGTGTGAAGTGACATTGAGCTGAAGGATCAGACGCTTTGTGTTTCACAGTGTACACATGTTGACGGTCGTGCATTTTGAGACATGGCTAATTATAACTTGATAGAAAGCTCTTCCTGACCAAGAAGGCCTAGTTAAGCTTACATTATGGGCTTCTTTTGCCTTATTTCAGCAGTTTTGTCTTTAGTTTTCGTATTATTTATGCTGGGTGAATTCAAGGGCTGGTCTCTAAATAACTTCCTACATGAGATCAATGATAATGTCAGTGAAAGGGCAGCACCACATTAAACCTCAGCTCAAAGGCTTCTGACTTGTTATGAAATTAAGCCTTTTAATTAATTGCAGGGCTCGCAACATTTCAGAATCCCTGGTAGCCCTTCGGGTAGGTACTCTTCATATTTTGGTAGCCCGAAAATTAATTTAACTAGCCCAAATAAAAAAAGACCTTTTTTTTTTTTAAATATAGAAAATCAGATAGGAGTTTAAATGTCAATCAAAAATATTTTCAGTACACATGAAGGAAGGAATTTTATTTCACTATTTACAGGGTATCTGCAGACTTAAAAAAAAATAATTTTTAAGGCAATTTATGACACATTTTAAGAGCTGCAGAAGTAAAATGAACACAGTATGAGTGGGGTTGGACAATGTCTATGGTAACATACAGTATTGAGCCATAAAATTACATGATTTACAGTTCAGATACAGGTTTTCACAAAAAAATCTTATACAACAGCATTTCAGCCTTTAGACCATTCTTATGAAAAGGGATAATTCAAGCATATAAATTATGTCAATTTAAAACGTATAAATATTACTGTCTTAATTGTTTAGATTTTTAGAAGGCACATTAACTTCTTTCTCATTTACAACTCTGTGTTTGCTGCTTAAAAGCATGAGTTGATATTTGCATTGATCTGACCATAAACAGCCAGAAAGGCTTATTGGAAATGCAGATTAATTCTCTACCATGAGGTGGCGCTTTAGGAGCGCTGAAATATTGCGGTTTCCCCGGTAACGGCTGTGTACACAAAGCAGCTCCGCGCTCATAAACGCTGCTTTATCAGGAATTATAGGTCAAATGAAATTAAAATGCCAACGACACGTTTCTGAGGACAGTCCGTTGCCTTCAGATACATTCAAATAAAGACATCCTCGCCACGTTTTGACTTGACACGTGCAGCGCTCATACTTATTCAATGACATCATTGCATTTTGAAGTTTAATCCAGCCGTATCGCGACTCTTGTCTTTCCGTCCCCAACTGTAAGACCTCTTGAAATTATAATTAAGACATTTCTTATACCATTTAACGTATTTCAAACTTTTTATGGCCTTAAGTTTGATACAACTCACTTTAGGAGTTTTTAAGGACCCGTGGGAGATCTGCATTTTAGACAGCCCGTCGGGCAGAGTGGTGATACATTTTGGTAGCCCGACTGGAAAACACAATAGCCCCGGGACGTCGGGCTAGTGATTTTGCGAGCCCTGAATTGAATCATTCAACAGTTGAGTTAACCATCCCAGATGTATTGAATAATTCAGCAATGCTTTTTTACTAATGGATAAAGGCACCTGGTGCTTTAAGACTGTCCTGAATCATGCAGTCGACTTTTCCTGATGTCGTGACTGTCGTCTTATGCCAGAGGGAGAAATATTAGAGCTGTTTAAAATACTTGCTATTATTCATTGAGATATATATTTAAAAAGGTATTTTAATGCATTGTAATTCATTGAAGATAATTATAATACACATTACATTAATTTGTGTTTTCCTGTGAAATAATTGTAACAGTTATAAACAATTTTGTGTTTTCAGTATGTACAGATTCAAAACACTATGAACATCAAAAGTGTTATTATATTCGATTGTCTTTTTTCCATAGTAGAGTACAGAACCAAAGTGTATAGACATAACAAAAAGTACAAATAGCAGACTATGTAAATAAATTATTGTATGTGAGGTTTGAATATAATTATAATGCAAACGAATATTGTATTCTACATGTGAACTTTTATGTAGGCTATTTAAGACAAATATATATTTAAATATATAACCTGGAAAATAGTGCAGTTTTATTAGGATGGGTTTTGTATTTTATATATGCATATTTATATGATGTGCTATAGGGTGTATCTCACAAAAAATGTGCCTAGGTTAAATGTCACTTCAAAATCAGAAGAAAAGAAAACAAATATTTTGTATGAGGAAAATTAATCGTGTTTTAGGACCATTAAGATTAAGATTGCATTGTGACAATGTTTTCAGGAAAATGTTTCCAGGCCAAACAAATGAATTTGTTTTCAATTAAATTAGCATTTATTTCTTTTTCTTTCTCCATAGTCCTATAGAATCCTGTCAGAATTTCTACAAAGACTTCACGTTACAAATTGACATGGCATTCAACGTGTTCTTCTTACTCTACTTTGGCCTGCGTGTAAGTACATATATTTAACTTTCATATTCAACATCTTTTTACCACATTCTATACACTCATTATTATGTTTTGGCCCGAAAACTTTTAATGTTTGACTAGAAATTGTTCAATCTAATGTTCATTCATCTTAATTGTTTGTTCTACTTACTAAAATGTGATCCTCTTTAAAATGTTGCAATATACATGTTTCTTTTTCTTTTCATCTTCTTCCAGTTCATAGCAGCCAATGATAAGCTGTGGTTCTGGTTGGAGGTGAACTCAGTGGTGGACTTCTTTACAGTACCGCCCGTGTTTGTGTCAGTGTATCTGAACAGGAGCTGGCTGGGTAAGTCTCCAAACACTATCCTCACTCCCTTTTCTTCCTGACCCTCCTGTCAGTCCCTGCACCCCAGGGCAGCGGTCACAGGAGCAGCTCAAACCACGGTTAGATGAGATAAAGGCCAAACTGATGATGAGACAAGGGCAAATGTTTGAACAGGAGATTTTATGATTAAGCCAAGCTGCCATGGTTTGTTGTCACTCTCTGTCGCGGGAAACCCAAGAATAGCTACGAAATGTCACGGCTTAGGAACTAGAAAAAATGCAAAGATGACAGTGGGGCTTAGGTGAAGAAGAGCTGGGAAGGATGGCAGGAACGTGAGATGATTTAGGCTTTAATTGTTAAACAGGCCCATTCGCACCAAGTCATTCCACAGTGTCGTTTTCGTTATAGTTATAGACTTCTCTATTCTCATACAATTTAATGAAAGGTTATTAAAACTTCATAGTTATAGCTACTTTCCTTGGTTTGAACAGGCCTTTACTGGTCACACATTTTGAGTTATGGATGCTGGTGTTCACCAGGTTTCTTAACTTGCACAAGACACACTGATAAACACAAAGCAGCCTGGACCAACTTTTTAGGGTTTGCTTATCTAAACTGGTCTGGTTTGGGAAAGGGAAAGTGTACGTTCTTGTATAAGGCTCACTTTTGAGAAGCCAGTGGGGCGAGTAAGCCCTCTCAGTCTGATGGTAATGATTTTCCATCACAATGTGTTTTTGTCAAAGCTGGGGTGAGCGACAGGTGAGACATGACTGTGGTTTAAAGCAACTGGTGTGTGTGTGTGTGTGTGCTTGTGTATCCTGTAGCCAAAGGAAAGCAGGTTTGCTTTAGCCTACAGTATGTACAGTTAATGTAAACACAATTGTTCATAACCGTTACACCATCTGTGTCATTAGTGCTTTCCAAAACAACTGTAAAAAGAATGCCGTCCTTCCTTAAACGCATCAAAAACCACAAGTTAATAATTTAGCACTTCAGTAGCCGGCTTTAGAAAACTGTCATCTTTTGCCATGGTGCTGTTTGAATAATGCATTAGAAAAGCAGCAGTTCATCAAAAAATCTGTAATTTTAATGGTGTTCCGCCCTACCAAGCCAGTAAATGAAAATCAAATAAAAGCTGCTATCAACATCCACCTAATAACAGCTGTTTGGCTGAGCGGCATATGTAAACAATCACTCACTTGCCCGTGCAGTACAAATGCTGAGAAAGTTTCAACACTAAGCTCATTAAAAGCTTCAAACCATTAGGAGTATAATGGCTTGGAGACAGACCAATTTTGTAATCCGAGTGTGTTCCTTAATTTCACAGATGTCCACAATTTCAGGCATTGTCGTCTACTGAGTGTTGACTCACCTCGGAGAAGCATCATGATTAAAACATTACAGGATGTAGAATTTTAGTCCGAAGAAATTAGACTTTCAGTCTTGACATTAGTCTAGCTGATGAAACCAATTGGTTGAGTGGTGAAACATCAAATGTAATGATGAAAATAACTGAGATTTGGATAAGATGTAAATCTTAATTATGCTGAGCTTTAAAGGCACTATACGGTATATTGTACACGACCATTCAAAAGTTTAGGGTTAGTAAGATTTTTGGGTAACACTTTATTTTAAGGTGTCCTTGTTTCACGTTACATGTACTTACTATTATAATAACAATTAAATTATGCATAATTGCATGCAAGTTACCCTAAACCAAACCCTAATCCTAACCCTAACCATATAGTAAGTACATGTAGTTAATTAATATTACTTAGTACTTAAATGTATAATTACACTGTAACAAGGACACCTTAAAATAAAGTTTAACCGATGTTTGTTTGAAAAAAAAAAAAACTTGCATTCAGTAATGATTCATTAAAGGTTGCAGTGAAGACATTTAAAATATTACAAAATATATATATTTTAAATAAATGCTGTACTTTTGACTGAAAACTGTACTTTCTGAAAATTCAGCTTTGCCACCACAGGAATAAATGATCTTTTAAATTATATTAACCACATTGATCAAAGTTGTTTTTAAATTGTACTAACATTTAACAATATTACAATATTACAATGTTACTGTATTTTGATAAAAAAAAAAAAAAGCAGGCTTAGTGAGCATAAGACATTATTTTAAAAACACAAAATGTACTGGTATAAACGTTTTAATGGTAATGTACCGTATTGACCCGAATATAAGACAATGTTTTTTTCTTGGAAATACATCTGAAAAAACGCGGTCGTCTTATATTCAGGGTCTAGAGCAGCGGTGGCGAAAAAAGTGTATATTTTTTTTAATGTGATTGTTGGTACATTTTACCAGTTTTTACCATACTTTCAAAACAAAAATTAAAATAGGAAAAATATGCAATATGAAAATAATTGAAGATAAAATGTGTTTTACTGAGAAAAAACAAGATTTGGTTTTTAAAAAGCCTTTTTCCAAAAGGTACATCTGGAAAAAGGGGGGGTCGTCTTATAATCAGGGTCGTCTTATATTCGGGCCAATACGGTACTTGAAATTTGTGACTAATCAAATGTGACATTCATGTGACTCTTTGTACAGACTGGCTGAACTGGAAATATACAGACTGAAAATGCTCTTTGCACTGAAAAAAAAAAACTTGTAGGATTTACTTGATAAAATTAAACACATTTAGTCAACCATCTTTTACTGCTACCGCTCTGTACAATTTACCTGTTATTGTCGAGTAAAATCTGCTTTCTTAACTGAATTTAACATTTTTTCCCCCACTTTGCATTACATTAAAACTGCTTTTAATGTAATGCAAGCTTCTGTTAAACTCCGCTATAGTGTTCAAAGCATGCTACCCTACCTAGTGCAATAAGGCACTTATGAATTTACTTATAACTTTGACTATAAACATTTTGAAATACTGAAATTGTTTGAAGTATTGGTATGAAACTGTATACGTTTCACTGAATGAATGCGCTCCTAGTACTTTTGGGGACATAGTATGGGACTGTCATGCAGAATAAAAGCCTCTCAAAGACCAAAGAGTGCTCTCCCAGCACAGAGGGACAAATTCTCAGACATGATGAAAGATTGTGAAACAGCCGGCATATGAAATCTAGAGCAACATCAGTTCAGCAAACTCTGAATGAAGAGGGTTACAGTGATCATATGTTATATAATGATGATGTACAGCACATCAGAGGTATATTAATCTCAGAGAAAAGAGCTTTTAGAGAACAAAGAGTTAAATAAACATTGAAGAATTGTCAGGCCCTCGGTTCCCAGACTAAAGATAACTATCCTGCAGTACAGGACAAAAGAAAAAAAAATAGCCAGATAATTTATTTTATGCTTTATTTCATAGTTTTCATTAAATGTAAAACATTTGGTACATTGAGACGCCTGCTTACAAATTGATTATTTAAACCCTGGTGTAAATGTGTCATGTGTCATATAGCATGTAGCCAAGTGAACTATTGTTTTCTGTACTCCCAGGTCCCACCCTGTTAAGAAAAATAGGCTGGCTCATAATTAAATCTGCTTCTTTAGGGACTGTCAAAGACCATGGGACATGAGTGAACCTTTGCTATATCGTTTTCTTTTCTGAAAATTGGAGCTTGATGAAAGTGGTGGAGAATGTGCTATTAATTTGAAGGGTATGTAGAGACCCTCTACTGGGAAATAGAAATCTTCTTTAGAAAATCTAATCTTCTAGAAACGGTTCGGGACAGCCTTTTCAAACACAAGGGTTGTGTATGGATTAGCATGAGGCTGTTTATAATACACTAGCTTCCTTTATCCTTGCAATCAATTAACAACAGGTACTTGACTCTGAAATGGAGACGTTTTGTGAGCTAAAGTCCTCTTCCAAATGCCCCATCAGTCTGTGAAGAGAAGGCAATAATCACAGTGTCTTATGTGAGGAGATCTGGTGCATATTAATGGAGGGTAAGTTTACAGAGGGAGATTCCTAGGTTCACTCTGGATTTTATTGTTATTTTCAGGGCCATTAAAATGCTACGCTTCAATGATGTACTGTAATTAGTCTTTTCAGTGCTTTTTTTCCTATAAGGGATTTTGTCTGTATGTCATATGGTTTGGCATTAGAAACCATTTAGAAACCATGAAAAAAAATTCTAAATTAAAATTGAGATAAATATACACTTCTATTCAAATACTTTTTTTAATTTTAAAGTGTCTTAGCCAGGCTGCATTTTAATTGATCAAAAATATACACTATAAAAAATATCAAGCCGTTTCAACTAATTATTATTTAGTAACAAGTTCCACAGAAATTTTACGTTCAGTCAGTTTGTCTTCAAAGTGTTGCCTGAATTGTTATTTTTTAGTTGGCTCAACCTTTACTGAAATAGTTTTATAGTCTATTTCTAATATATAATTATATATAATTGGTCAAACATTTAGAAAACTACAGCAAATTGTGTCAATTAAAATTTAACCATTCACTCCATGTGTTTCATATGTTACCTCAACTAAGATTTATTATTTGGGCATCATAAGAAATTGCTGTGGAACTAGTTATTATATTTTATATTGAGTTTAAGAAAATTATTACCTGGTGTCTATCAATCACTAAAACACACACATTACAACACATAATAGCCTTTATTTAATAACAATCTGCATTTATAACATTTGTCATACAGACTAAACATGCAGTCTTAAAGGGATAGTTCACCCAAAAATGAAAATTTGCTGTTAATTGACTCACCCTCAAGCCATCCAAGATGTAGTTAACTTTTTTCTTCAATTGAACAGTAAAGGAAATTTTTAGGTGAAAACATTGTCTTTGAAAACATTGCAATTCATAAACTGCACGTTTCTAGCTGCCAGCTTTTGAGAGTCAAATAAACATATACAGACAAGACCAAATTACCAAACGCTCCTGAGGACACATTGAGGCCTTATGAAGCTAAAACAATCAAAAACCGGCAGCCACAGACGTGCAGTGTATGCATAGCCAAGGATCACTGTTTCAGATAAAAATCTTCCTTACTGTTCTACTGAAGAAAAAAAA